GCATTCTTTTCTTCTTAAGAAGGCCTGTCCTCAGAAGAAACTACTTTCCCAAAGCATAACCTACTGGGTTATCTCAGAACCTAAACTAGCTGGGGGAAGGGAAATACCCAACTCCAGTACCCCTCTAGCCATCCTGCCCCAACTAAGCGAGGGTTGTGGCAGGGAGGGGAAACCTGTGAAGCCTTGGTGTTCATAGTCCATTGGCACAGCCTGAAACCTAATCATAGGATTATAGTACATTTCCCCACCCCCAACACACACACACACCCTTATCATTACATTACTAAAGGCCTATTTAATGCAATTCCTTTTATCCAATACATCATGTCTACCTTTCAATAAAAAATTACAAGGCATATACTAAAAGACAAAGATACAAACAGGCTGAATGAGCATCAGGATCAAAGTCAGACATGACAAAAATGTTGAAATTATCACATCAGGAATTTTTTAAACTATTATTAATATATTAAGGACTATAAGAGAAAAAGTAGACAACTTTGTATAATGTAATTTGGATACATAATGTAAGCAAATAGATGGAAATTCTAAGAAAAAATCAGAAATGCCAGAAATCAAGAAACACTGAACCAGAAATGAAGAATGCCTTTGATGGGCTCATTAGTACACTGAACACAATGCTGAGGAAAGAATCTCTGAGCTTGAGAATATGACAACAGAAACTTTGAAATAGAAAAGCAAAGAGAAAACTTAAAAACAAACCAAAAAAAACACAAAAGAAACCAGAGTATATAAAACTGTGGGACAAGTACAAAAGGTATAAAATACATGTAATGGGAATACCAGAAGGAGAAGAAAAGAACAGGAGCAATATCTGAAGCAGTAATGACTGAGAATTTCCCAAAATGAATGTCAGACACCAAACCAGAGATCTAGTAAGCTCAGAGAACATCAGTCTGGATAAATGTTTAAAAAGCTATATCTAGGCCTATTTTCAAATTACAGAAAATCAAAGATAATGAAAAAATCCAGAAAGAAGCCTGAGGCAGAAAAACACCTTACCAGTACAGAACAAAGATAAGAATTAAGTCTGACTTCTCCTTACAAACCATGCAAATGAAGAGAGTGGAGTGAAATGTTTAAGTGTTGAGATTTTAAAAACCCACCAACCTAGAATTTTGTACCCTGAAAAACCGTCCTCCAAAAATGAAGGGAAAATAAAAGACTTCCTCAGACAACCAATGAGACAATTCACTGGCAACAGAAGTGTATTACAAGAAATGCTAAAAGAATTGAAAATCTATTTAACAAAATAATAGCTGAAAACTGCCCAAATATTGGGGAAAGATATGTACTTCCAGATCCAAGATGCTCAAAGATCCCCAGATTTAACCCAAAAAAGTCCCCTCCAAGCCATATTGTAGTCAAACTGTCAGAAGTCAAAGACAAAGAGAGAATTCTAAAAACAGCAAAAGAAAAGCATCAAGGCACCTGTAAGGGAGTCCCCATCAGACTAACAGCAGACTTCTCAATAGAAACCTTATAGAGGAGACAGTGGGAAGATATATTCAAAGTGCTGAAAGAAAAAACTTGCCAGCCGAGAATACCATCCCCACCAAAGCTATCCTTAAAAAAGGAAGAATAAATAGAGTCTTTCCCAGACAAAACAAAAACTGCAGGAATTCACCACCATAAGACTGGCCCTACAACAAATTCTTAAGGGAGTCCTACATCTGGAAGCAAAAGAATGATAATTACCATGATGATAACATATGAAAGAATAAAACTCACTGGTAGAGTAGATATGTAAAAGAAAACAAATTACATCTTTCCACTACAAAAAAACACCAAACAGCAAAGACAAATAATAAAAGAGAAAGAAAGGAACAAAAGATATATAAAACAACTACTAAAAACTAATAAAATGTCAGAAGTAAGGCAAGACCTTTCAATAACAATCTTGAACGTAAATGAATTAAATTCACCATTTTTGTGCTGTTAGTAGACCAATAATGTAATTTTTACAAGTCTCCAAATAAGTTCATTTAAAGAGAACACAAGATAAAAAGAGTATTTCCTTTCTTAAACATATCCAGTCTCTACTATTTCCTTTTTGTATTCTCTAACTCCTTATAGTTGAAATTCATCAATTATAAAACATTATGGAATTTGACAGATCTCATAAAACTCTGTGACATGCAGTTTACCACAAAACTAACTTACTTAAACACACTACCTTAAACACTTTATTGTCTAAAATTAATGGAAGCCTATTAGCTACCAAGAGATAGTATATAAAATCTACAGCATGGCATTCATGAGTTCCTCGATAATGACCAAAATCTGTCTTTACAAATTAATCTCCTACTAAACTCAGCATGAATTCTATCTCTAGCCCAACTAGACTAGTTTCTCCAAAACTGCCGCTTGCTTGCCTCTGGGCTTTTCGCCTTCCGTTCACTCGTCTGAGAATGCCTTATGCTCTGCCTGCACACAACTTTCTCATCTTTCAAAGCTCCACCATTAAAGTCTTCTCTTATGAAAAATATGATGTTATGCAAACAGCACAAATCCTGGAGTCAGTCTGACTTAGATTTTAATGCAGGCGATGCTACTTATTGATTAATGTCTCTGAGGCCAGGTTTCTTCATCTATGAAATGGAGCAATCTCCATTTTAGAATTAGTATATAAGTGAAGTCCATAGTGCAAAGTAAGAGTTAAATAACCATTAGAACTGACCATTAGAACTAATCTTATTACTCATTTCTCTCAGCTCTCTGTAACTGGCTTATATAATTCATTTAGCAATTCACAGCCTGGACTCACTCCATCTCTTATATTTTAGCCCTAAATAATTATTTAACTTGTGTTATTTTAGTTTTAACTTGTGTTGTATGTTTTATGTCCCCAAACAGACCAGAAGCTGCTTAAAAGTCAGGACTACAAGTCATACCTACTTACTTACAACTCCACGTGGTTTAGCACAATGCTATTTATAAAAGAGGACCCAAATATTTCCTCAGTAAAGCATTTGCTGAAAAAAGTCTACCCAGCAAACGGGAATCACATTTTAAGAAGGGCATTAACACACTGGAACATCCACTGAAAGATAAAGGGAGAGGCAAGGAGGGAAGGAGAAGGGGTGTGGGAGTGGGCACAGGGTAAGTGGGGGAGTGTGTGTGTGTGTGTGTGTGTGTGTGTGTGTGTGTGTGTGTGTGTGTTAAAGAGAGAATATGTAAGCAAATTCTGGTAACAAACTATAGATGTTTAATCCAAAGAAAAGACTTCAGAAAGCACGATCACTAGAAAATAATTAAGATTGTCTTCTTTAGTATCTAAATAAGATTATCTTGTTTAGTATTTCGAATCTAGAGAAATAATTTTTGGAAGTCAAGAATTTAGATATGAACTGGTTAAAGCCTATCTAAATCCCACGAGTCTATGGCTTTATGTTTAAACATTCTTTAAATGCTCAATACAATGATATTTATGTAAGTATTTTTAAATGACAGTCTTCAGCTAGGAGTTTCTGTTTGAGCAACAAAAAAGAGCTTTGGTTTCTCATCCTATAAATTCACTTTAGAGACTACAGTATCATCTTAAAAATTGCATTAGGCTTCACAATATTTAAAGCATTTTCATGTCTTTCTTTTCAATAAAATTAGTGACTATCAGATACCAACAGAGAAAAAGTACATGAATAGGCAAGAGCCAAATTGAGATCTGATAAAATAGAATTTTCAAACAAAATATTCTTCCTTTAATAATGTCTTAGAACTTCATTATTAGTTAGATCAATCCACCTGAGATATCAACTTCTTAAAAAAACAAACACTGAACAGAAACTTTCTCTTCTTCTCACATTCATGTTCTTCTCAGAGATCACTCTTATCACCCAGAACTTAAAAGTAAAAGTCACTACTGTCTTAGAGCAGCAGTTCTGCAAATGTAGTCACTGGACCAGCAGCAGCAGTACCACCACCACCTGGGAACTTGGTAGAAGTGCCAATTCTCCAGCCCCATCCAACCAACTCAATCAGAAATTCTGGAGCTGACCAAACAATCAGGGGCTTACTCCATATGATTCTGATGCATCCTCAAATTTGAAAATCACTGTTTTAGAAAATGGTTTGGTTTCCTCTAACACGGCAGTATCCCTTTACCTACTTCTCCTCTGCATATTTCTCTTTCTCACATTTTGCACAAACCAAAGATTTTCTTGTTTGAATGATTAATTCACCAGTAACTTTGTGATGATTTCCTACTTTGTTTCCTTTTAAAATGTGAGCTGTCTGATAAACCATCCAATATGTTTTTAAATTTTTTATTACACACAAATTATTATGAGCTGCTTACAAAGAAAGGGATTTTTAACTTGTGTCAACAGGCAAAGAAAAATCCCATATAAACACCATCTGCAAATAGGCCCATTTTTTCCTTTACATTCCATCCTAGACTGCATACAGTATAACACATATTTGTAGGGAACATTTTAAATAAATATTTGTACCTATCAGTTTATAATGAAATTATTCCATGAACGTCAAAATTATCACCTTCCTACAAAAACATCTATTTTGACACTTATATAATCCTTGAAAGTATTTTCTTGAGAAATACAGAATACATAACCTGATAACCTGGGTTTTATTTAGCAAATAAACCTATGATTTATGGCCTAGAATTCTGGCTAATGCCAATATGTAAGACTCAATCTAAGGAAATTGGCCAATGCATACTCCTCTTGAGAAAAAAATTATATGTAAATTTAAATAAGTGTTTTTTTAGAAGTGTTCTCTAGAAATGCTGACTGGAAGTGGGAACTTTTAGATACTACACGTGTACATGTATGCATAAGCAGGTATATCAGTTCCTTAATGCTGACAAATAATGACAATAACAAAACAAAACAACCAAAACATCTCAAAACAAATTATTTTGGTTGATGAGAAATGTATCTAAGACCACAATTAATAAATTTCATTTTAAAAAGTTACATGGCAACTCACAGCCAGACGCAATGGACTGCCTTACTCACCTGTGTACATAATGTAGCTGATGAACTGAGTCAATTGCTATCACCATCTCGGCCAAGTAAAATCGAGCCATATCCTCAGGCAATCTATCTTCAAATTTGCTGAGCAGAGTAAGCAAATCCCCACCAACATAATAATCCATAACCAGGTACTGTGAATGAATAAATAAAATGTACTCAATTAATAATAAAGGTGAAAAATTAATATACTTAACATATCCCAAGGTCAAATAAGATTGCGTCACATACTTATGTGAGTAATTACTTACGCAGTTAATTAACAAGAAACTGTAAGATGATCATCAGCAATCATTACAAGACTTCCAAATTTCATACACAAGTAAAATAAATTTTAAAAAACTGGGACAGAGAACAACACAGGATTATCTTTTTATTGTTGCTGTTCTATTTCGCAAAGTAAAAACATCATCGTCGTCGTCGTCGTCTTCAAACTACAGCTTTATCAACATTTCATAAAAAAGTGAACATTTTAAATTTTAAAAAACTGGGACAGAGAACAACACAGGATTATCTTTTTATTGTTGCTGTTCTATTTCGCAAAGTAAAAACATCATCGTCGTCGTCGTCTTCAAACTACAGCTTTATCAACATTTCATAAAAAAGTGAACATTTTAATTAACATCATCGTCGTCGTCGTCTTCAAACTACAGCTTTATCAACATTTCATAAAAAAGTGAACATTTTAATTCCCCAGAAGATAAAAAAGGAAGAAAAAACTCAGAATATAGGACAGCCCTTATGCTGAAAAAACTCATCTTCATCTCCATTCATCTTCATCACTACATTTTCCTTATTTCACCTTGAATTAGTAAGAACTTTATTATAACCAGCACCAGCTTATGGGTCAGCATTTGGAAACCACTGTTATGTAAAACATAGTACTACCCACCATATATGTTTCTCTTCGCATTTCTGATAGTACACAAATATCAGAATGAACTTTTCTCAGGTATATATAAATAAAAGCCAACTAATTTCAGATACAGACCCTTACAAGTGTGTGTGTGTGTGTGTGTGTGTGTGGATGCGTGGATGCGTGTGTGTGTGTGTGTGTGTATGTGTGTGTATGCAAAAAAAAAAAAAAGACAAGGAGTATACACCAAAATGTTCACCCGGATTCTCTGGGCTGTTATGTATGTGTGTGTATGCAAAAAAAAAAAAAAAGACAAGGAGTATACACCAAAATGTTCACCCGGATTCTCTGGGCTGTTAGATTATACATGCTATTATAGCTTTCTGTTATGTTCTAGACTGCTTTATAAGCATGTATTCCATATACATGTGTATATACGTATATTATACAAGGGGTCGTCAAAAAGTTCTTGTAAAGATTCACATTATCTTCTAATCCTATTTTTCCATGAAGTTTTTGAAGTACCCACAAACTATGTTACGCTATGTTATACATTATTTTAAGGAGAGGGAGAAAACTAGGCAAAGTGGAAAAATGGGCTTCATAGTCAAAGAAACCTGTATTCAAATCTTAACTCTGTGTTATAAGTGGCTTCTGAAAATTTAATCCTTTGATACTTCATTTTCTAATTTACCTAAGTACAATAATGATACCTTCCTCACAGTGTAGCACTTAGCATGAAGGCTAGTAAATAAAAGATGCTTAAACGTCAGTTATAATGTCTTGAAATGAAGGTGATTTTATCACAGAATGGAGATACTTCACCGAATTGACACTAAGATTTAAAGAGTCTTAAGAAAATTCAAATTCTTATTACTATACAACATTAAAAGTATAAGTATGGAAAACATGTTAAACCAAAGAAACTAATTTCATATATTTAAAGCCTTGAAAAGAAGGGAAACAATATATTTCAAATCCTGGTCCATGGCTTACTTGCTGTACATATGAGGCCTATAGATTAATAGACTCTATCCTGATCATTAGAACAAACTAATATAATGTAATAAAATTTTAACATTAACATGTTGCAAGAAATGGCAATGAATGTGAAGAAGAAACCCACATCTCTTTAAAAAGAATACTTTGAGCACAGAAGCAAGAAACTTTTCAAGCAAAAAAGCAAGCCTGCTATTAAAATTGGAATCTCATTTTTATACATAGGTGGTTATAAAACATTACTCATTCCTTCAGCAAACATTTACTGAATGCCAATCAGGATATTTTTTGTGGCAAACAGAGAGGAAAAAACCCAGAGGATAAAGAGATGAAAGGCCCTTACAATAAAGGCTTTTGGCTCTTCCAAGTATACTCTATCCTTGCCACACCAGACTCCTAAGAGATCTGAGTACACTATCCACCAGCAAACTGCTAAAAAATAATTCTCTCAACATCTTTGCCACCACGGCCACCAATCAAAAGTTAGGCTCCTGGGATCATCATCCATCTTCCACCTTCATCTACATATCACTAGGAACTTCCTCTGAACAAATCTCCAAAGCCCCATGGATCCCTTCCCCTCCAGCCTTTCAGTGTGCTTTTTTGAAACTCTTCCATGGTAAACGAACTTCCCTTAGACAGAACTAAAAATGAGGAATATAAAAGTATTCCGAGTTTTCCTTGCCTGCTGAATCGGGTTCCGGCTTCACTCACTCATTCTTCCCCTGTGTTATCCTCAAAGGAAATTAGCTGTTACTAAGACAGAATTCAGCAAGTGGGGGGAAAGAAACAGAAAACACAAAATCCTCAAGAAAAAAACAATGAATTGAAAATGAACTGTACATGCAATGGTGTTTTGGTATTAGGAAGACTAAATGTATCAGGAGAGGCAAACAAATAATAATCTCACATAAGAACAAAACTTCTTTTTCTTTGTAACATAACCCAGTGAATGTCACCAAGATCTGAAAGTCTGTCTTTTCTGCTTTTTCCTTGATTTCCTACAATATTCGATTCAATCATCAAGGTCTTATTGAGTCTATTTCCTGCAAAATCTCTGTGGAATCCATCTCCTTCCATCCTTATCCACTACCACAATCCTAATCCTGTCTTGTTTTGACTATATTACTGCTACAGATTTAAGGGCAAAGTGAATAGCTTCCCATAATATATTTTATTGTGTAAACAATTTTCTTGGGAATGAAAAATAGAATACAGAGCAACAGAGAAACTAATAAGTTCATTCACTAATTCCTCATTTATTTATAAAAGTACCTACAGTGCGCTAAAATTATGTTTAGACAAGGCAGAGACAAAAATGAATGAGACATAGTTACTGCCATCAGGGAATTTACAGTCTGACAAAGGACAAAACACAAATTAATGGGCAATTTCAGTATGCTATAAATACTCTGACCGTGATAAGCATAGGGGGTGGCTACAGACTCTTAAAAGAAAAGAACCCAAACTTTGAATCAGGTTCATTCATCTGTCTGAAAATTATCTTTGGTCAAAGTGTGAAGACAATTTTCTTACAGTCAGTCTATTATCTAAAATAATTAGTTAAATAGTCAATTCTTCCTCCCAATTCAAATGAAATGTTCCCTAATCATATTTTAAGATCCCAAATCCAATCACTGCAGTTCCTCGGAACTCTATTCCATTATGGTTTCCTATTCCCATATTGATATCCTATTGTTCTGATTAATTTTATAGTAAAATTTAATATCTGATAGGATAAGTTCCTACTCATTACCTACCTTTAAAATACTCCCCAATATAATTAAGATGTCATTAAACAAGGTTTAAAAAAAAACGATGAGAGGTAAAATTCATAAGATAGATCGAGAAGATAATAATCGTAAATAAAGAGCTCCTACCAATTCTTAAGAATACAAGCAATCCAACAAAACTGGGCTGAGGATATTAACAGTTAATTCACATAAGAGGAAACACAATTAGCCAGTTAATACATTCTTAACCTCAATAGCAGTCAGGGAAATGAAGAAGCAAAGCAACAGTGAGATGCCATTTTTTACCAATCAGATTAGCGAAAAGATCACCAGAGCTGTGGGGAAAGTGACAAGCACTACTGCTTTTGAGGAAATGATATACTACAACCTTTTGAGAAAGTAATTTCACAGTATCTATTGAAATTTAAAATGTGCACACCCCTTGATCTAGCATTCCCACTCACAGAAATGTAGTCAATTAAAATAAAAGCTTCAATGTGTAAGGAATATAGGCAAGTATATTTACTGCACAGAACTGTTGATAATTACAACAAATTAGAAAAATATGAATGGTGGGCCGGCCCGGTGGCGCACTGGATAAGTGCGCCGCTTGGGAAGCGCGGCGGCGCTCCCGCCCGAGGGTT